TGACCCACAAGGGATGATTAACTGTTGAGATATATAGTCCCACATTGATTGTATGTGTAACTAATGTGGAGTTTATAAGCTCTTGGGCACTCCCACCCTTTGAACTAGCTTTTGGGGTGGTGTATCTCAAGGTTCTTTACATGGTATCAAAGCCTCGCCGCCCTCCACTTTCTCTTGTGGCGTTTCTTAGCACAGGTAGGTTGGGCCTGTTGCATTGTCCACTCTTCAAGCCCAATGGGCTCTCGTGTAAGGGGGCGTGTTGAGATATATAGTCCCACATTGGTTGTATGTGCAACTAATGTGGAGTTTATAAGGTCTTGGGCACTCCCACCCTTTGAGTTAGCTTTTGGGGTAGTGTATCTCAAGGTTCTTTACATTAACAAAAGAAATAAAGGAAAGAATCTCGCCATAAAGATAACAATCTTACCATATCTTTATTGGATCAAGCATTAGGCCCATAATATTTCTAAGAGGTCTAAAGTTTTACTTCCACCAAGTAAACTCTCTATAAATAAAGGATTAAGCATATAGGTATGCACTTTTGAACTCTTTCTCTTATTTATCACTAGATATACACCCAGGGGCAGACGCACAGTGTTGCACTTGTCTGCAAGTGCAGACAATAATTTTTAAATTTTTTTTGGCGGACGCACACTCTTTCCTTTCAAAGCTTAAATCATTTAATGGGTTTCTTTTTTGTCTTCTTTAAATGCAACTGATGCAAAAACTTGAAAATAGATATGCTTATCTTTTTTAAATACACTCTCTTCTCACTTTTCTCCCTTTTTTTTCCTTAAAAAATGTTTCGCATTCATTTTCTTCTTTCTCTATCTCCGACTTTTTTTTTTTTTGGAGGAGGGGGGTTACTTGTATTTTAATTTTCGTGACTAGACTTGTTTATTTTTTGGTAAGAACTAACAGGTTTTTTTTTTTTTTGGAGGGGGGGAATAACTTGAGAGATAGGTTGTGAGTACCTTTTGTACCATTCAAAATATTTTCTTAACCTAAAATGATATTATTTAAACACTGAAATCAGGAATTTCATGAGGTTTTAGATTAATGAGGTATTACTGGAGAATATTGCCTTTGGTTGGTCTCCGTTCGAATGTGATTAGATAACATTTAGGAATTGAAGCAAGGGAATTTCTGTTTGGTCCATCAATTGCATTGTGCATTGGTGCAAGGTTTGTTCCTTTACGCAAACCTCGGAAGCTGGTAGGTATAATTTTGTCACGTTCATTTAGAAATTGCTTCTTAACCAGAATAAGTTGAAACTTTAAAGTACCGAACTCTAGGCAGAACAACAAAATTGATCTCATTCTGTGGAATGAGACGACCCTCACTGAGTGAAAATATCTTCTCCTATTAATGTGTTATCCTACTAGTAGAGGATGTTAATTGGCTCCAATTTCATGTTTTTTGGTTGTTTCTGATATGCATTTAAAATTTTTTTTATAAAAAAATTCATGAGCAACTCCACCATTGAATGTGCAAACACAAATTAAATTTTCTAGATCCGCCGTTGTATACACCTCGTGTTCTATTTATTCTAGTGTACAATTATTTACTCCCCTCTAAGATATCTTCTTAGTAGATACTTAAAAGAGCACATAGATTCTATATCGACATGTCAATCCCTGATTGGACATCTCCAATCCACCAGGATCGAATAGTCCATTTCTAGTTTCTCTACACTTTGACGTTAATTTAAATTGCAACAATGTGATTCCTGCCTCTGTTTTTATCTGATCCAATTCAATTGAGAAAGGCAAGAACAAATAGCAATCCGGTTTAGTCCAGTCAAGTCCAACCGTGTGGGTGCTGGGGTGGGTTGTGGGTATTGACTGGGCTTGGGTTTAATCGGGCCAATTATTCCCTGGTGCATTTTTTAAAAATTGAAACATGAATAACGCAGCCCACAAGATTCGAGAATATGATAAATTCTTAAAAATGTAACATAAAAAAAAAATGTATGATTGATTAATTGATGCAAAAATAGATACCCTAAAGATGTATTTAAAATAAAAACCCAAGTCATAGCATTAGCATGTGTTTAAAGTGCAAGCATTACTACATCTAAACTAGAAACACATTAAAACATAAACACCTAATACAAACAAAAAAAATCATTTTTTTCTAATTCTTCAATCAGATTTAAAAAAAAATAAAATCAAAATGTATGTTAGGAGTAAAGGTATATATGGATATGCATTCAACACCAATACCACAAATTTGTGTGTTTTTGTTAGCCTTGTGCTAGTCTTTTTATTTTTATTTGAATCTTTGATAATATATAAGGTTCTTCAACAATTTAAGCACAAAGTTGAATCTCATATATATACACACGCTAAACCGTTGGATTATATCATAGTTAACTGGTTACTCTAAAGTTTGAACATGTCAGCTATATTGACATCTTTCCAAAAAGTATGATGTTGAATCGGTTCCTCTCTTCTTTTATTAAGAATTTGAATTATTACAGGAGCGCATGCATCATGATGCATTATTATATACAGAATAGACTAATAATATAAAAAAAATGTCAAATTTATATTTAGTTAGACACTATTTTTTATATAATTATATTATATTTAAATAGACGTAAAAGTCAACTTCATACATAACTACGGACATAGGTTATCGGCTTTTTTCACTGATGCACAGCTTATATATACCATGCCCAATGATAATCATTAAGGTTGGAAACTGTTTGAATTAGACTATATTACAGTAAATATCTTTTTGGGTTCCTAACAAAAAATACGATTTCCACTTTGGTTTCTTACAAAAATAAATTAGTCAGTTAGGCCTTAACAAATTCAAAATGGTCCTATTTTAATCCTTTTGAGGGATTAATATGGGTCTTTTTTGAATTTGTAAGGGATCACGATTTCAACTAAATGAGTTCACTTTGAATTTGTTAAGGACTAACTGACTAATTTTTTTTTTAAGAAACTAAAATAGGGACCGTGTTTTTTGTTAGGGACCAAAAATGATATTTACTCTATTTTTTAAATGTAATTTAATCTCTTAGTATATTTTTTCTTAAAAAATACAATACATGACATTCTTAATTTTTTTATGATTTTAAATTTACTTATTTTTAAATTAAGTATGTATATCTTTTATTTTATATATATATATATATATTTTAAATTAATTATGTATATATTTTATTATATATATATATTTTAAATTAATTATGTATATCTTTTATTATATATATATATATATATATATATATATATATATATATATATATATATATATATATATATATATATATAGAGAAAGAGAGAGAGAGAGAGAGAGAGAGAGAGAGAGAGTACTGATGGGAAAGGAAGATAACATGTCATTGATATTGATTAATGACCAATCCATTTGAAATTGGAGATTTGAAACCGTGGCAATGATGTAAGTAGAAAGGGAAACGTACAATTATTAATGCAATCGTTTCGTTGATTTAAAAATAATAAATAAATTGAATGGTTATTTAATTATATTTCATAATAAATGTGATAACTCCGTTCTTATATATTAACGTTTTTTTTTAAACATAACAAAAGAAAATAATTATAAGTAGATCAACAGTTAACAATAGGTGTAAGACTTTTTATTTTGAGTAAATATCATTTTCGGTCCTAAGCAAATATCACGGTGATAGCTTTAGTCCTAGCAAATAAAAAGACTATTCGTGGTCACTAAGAAATTCAAAAAGGATCCATTTTAGTCCTTTTAAGGGACTAATATGGGTCTTTTCTGAATTTGTAAAGAACTACAATTTCAACTAAATGGATTCATTTTGAATTTCTTAGGACTTCGAATAGCCTTTTTATCTACTAGAAACTAAAGCGGATATTGTGAATTTTGCTGAAGACTAAAAAAGATATTTAATATTTTATTTCTATATCATTATAAGCTGATAATGCACATATATAGAACAAGGATTAATTTATATTGGTGTAATTATTACATCTAATTTAGTAATTGATTCCACTTGCATATAATTATAACTTTTCTAATTTATTAATCATATATATATATATATATATATATATATATATATATATATATATTTTGGGAAAAGTTTGCCATTTTAAATGACACATCTTATATCCTTTAACTCTCACAAAGAAGTGAGATACACACCTTTAAAACTTTTTCCACGCATTCTTTCTCACATAATTTATCTCTTTCTCTTACTTAAAATGACACAACTTTGTGTTCTTTAAAATAATACACATTTTTCCCATATATATTAGCAGCTTGTTTCCCGCAATTGAATAAAAATATATATATTGCAACTTATTTAGACTTATGTAGTGTCTCGAATTTTGTTAAGGGAAAAATGTTTATTATTTTAAAGGATATAAAGTTGTGTCATTTTAAGTGAGAGAAAAAAATAGATAAAGGAGGAGAGAGAGTGGACAAAAAAGATATAAATGTGTAGGTCTCATCTCTTTGTGAGAGTAAAATAAAATAAGTTATGTCATTTAAAAATACAAACACTTCATTTTGTTGATCACAACCAAAAGAATGTTATAGAAAAATGATGATAGATCTGTTACCTTAATTCTTGAGTGTAGTAAGTTATAAAGCATACTTTATCTTTATTCCCACCAAGAAAAGTATATCTTTGTAAATGAGGTCCAGTAAATGGATGGAGAAGCTTATGGTGACAAGTGACAAGATTGCTCCATGGTGGACAAATCATTTCTTGAATAAACCCCACTTTACAGAGACAATCACAAATTAAGTCAAAGCAAAAGAAGGTTAGCTTGTCTCTGTAGAGTCACAGTCAACAACATCCACATCAAAGTTAAATTCAAATGTCCTACCACTTGACTTTATCCCTAAGATATGGGCATTGTGCCCCAAAGATGTGGTCATGATATTGAGAACTAAGTGTTGTAACATTATGCTCAGTGAAGTACAAATCTGATATGAAACAAAGGTTTTCAATACTATCAATAAACAGTTTATAAATCCAAGCAATGTCATATTTATACATCATTACAGATAGATTGATAAATAGATCAAAATATAGTTTAACAAGAATTATGCCAGTTTTGCAAGTCTACTAAAGCAATAGACTAACAATGAATATGTTTCTCCCCCTTATATTGTTCTCCAAATCTGCTTCATATCAGCAAGGCTTTCTCATTGCAACTTTACAGAATTTAGTTAAAGGAAGCAACATCAAATGCATCAATTCTCAATATATAACCATTATTGATCAGTTTTGGCCCGTTTTATTTCATTAGAAGTGAATGGAGAGACACTACCACTCAATTGAGGGCTCTCTTCTCTATAATTGGAATTGAGCATAGCAAGTTCTCTTAGTTGTTGCCTCTTGTATAAGTCCTGTGACTCATCCTGCAAATGTAAAGGAAGGCGAATCAAAAACACTTCTATAACAACACAAGAACATCCCATTAATGTTATTTTGCTTTAAGCTCAAAGAAAATTTGGTTCAAAAGAAAACTCACTTTACATACATTTCTATTTGTTAGCAGCTAGGTATTAGCATGTTGAGAAAGCAAATAGTTCTTTGATTATCTCAATTCTCAAGTATATGCAGAAGAGAATAGTGAAGATACAACAAAAGAGTAGGAAGGAAACAGGTTCTGCTGTTAAGTTACCACTGGTTTAAGTAGCTCTTCTATGATTTCCTGTGCTTGCCTCAACCTTGCATCAACAACATTGGCAGGTAATTCAGCTTCAATTAAAATGTGAAGAGGATCATTCAGGTGCTCATAGCCTGGCCTTCCCCTTAACAACTCTTCCTTTAGAGTGAAAAAGGTAGAGAACATAAGTTGGTAGAAGCAACAAAAATTGCCAACAAATTGAAAGGAGGTTAACTATGCAAATTTTTATGACACTAAATGACTAACATACAAAAACCCCAAGTAGTTAAAACTAGGCTCTGCGGAGTTACAGTGAAAATGTAATAACATAGAGATGATACCTTGTCTAGGTCTTTAATTGAACCTTTCCCTCTGATAAATACACGGCAACCTGTGGTAGCTTCAACACGCTTCAGTGAATTACCCCTAGGACCAAGAAGCCGGCCAACAAAATTAAACTGAAAATTAAAAATAGCTTTAGTAAGTCAGGTCAATAAATAGCATGATAGAAAATGCATGATTACAGACAACCATTTGTTTAAGTGGTAAGGAGTTTGTTCTCCATAATCAAAGGTATCGAGTTCGAGACCTGGGAATGAAGAAAATGATCTTAGAAGAGTCGGTCCCTATAATGAGTCTGACAGTACTCGAACCAGACTAGGTAATCGATAAAGCAGTAGATATATCTGAATATGCATGATTAATTGCTTATTGTAAAATATATGTTACAAATCTTACATTTGGATAGCTATCTTTAGGAATGTCCAAGCGCAATATCTTCTTTACAATGTGAGAAGTTGGAACAACTGGTGCTGTTTGCCAATCAACATTTAGTCCCTGTACTCCTGTTAACCTCTGATGTATAATGAGCTTAACAAATCAGTAAATGAAATTAGAGCTTAGCTGGGAAAGAACCATGAAGAACCAACCAAAGGAAAACAGAGAAATACTGGTACATGGTACAAAGAAATCAAGTTGTAGATACTACTGTGTGTTAGAAAACACAGATTAAAGCAACACATACAAATTTCACAAATAGAGGCAATGTTGACACCACCATAAGCACAGTGGATAAGAGGGAATCTAAGCAATCAAGTACCTGAATTTGATGGGCTAAGAATCAAATTTTTCTACAACAACATATAAATTAATTATAAATTTTATATTGGGGGTACAAGAAAAAAGTAGGAACTGGAGACTAAGGAGTGGTAGAGAATTCTACATTGAAATGAACAAAAACTCAGATACTTACTTCATGTGACATGCTGTTCCAGCCAGTGAAGTTTGGTGTTAAGTCTGAAGAAGCCATATGACTAGGGCTTACAAATTGCATTCTGTCATAGTCACTAAGTCCTTGGTTCTGCAGCAATCCATTCTTTCCAGAAACCCTTAAAATCTCTGATAATAAGATAATTGTGAATATAAGAACTTGTATAAAGACAAATGAATCAAAGAACATAAATAATGTTAATGCAAAGTTTATGATAGAAACTGTAAATTATGATCAGAAAGTGTAGTAGCAGACACATAGTGGATGCTGTCTATATGAACATCTTGATTATAAAAACTGAAAGTTACATAAAAAATTTATAATAAACCTGATCACCTGAAAGTTTGTTCTAGTCATGCAAAAGACAATGCCTAATTTATGTCTTTTCTAGAGGAGAGGAATGTCTGAAGGGAAGCACATATAGACTTACATATAATTAAGGAGAGTAATGACTAATCAGTATTGACACCATCATTTCGTACCCTATATGGATTTTTTATTCTCCTTCGCTTTGTCATTTATGTAGGAGACTAGTTCTAATTCCTTAACGATTTAGTAACTATGATTGAGTCAAAGCGTAAAATAAAGTCAGAAGTTGACAATTCAGTGCATTTTAAAGAAAGAATATAACCATGAAGAGAGAGAGAGAGCAATGAGAAACTTATTAAAATAACCAGAAAACTGAGTCTATGCTTTGACTTGGCCTAATTCAAATGAACAAGAAGGGAGATCAGTTAAAATGAATGGCACAATAAAAGGAAAAGATTCACAACAGAAACCAAGAATTCATAGATATGGAATAAACTGACCTTGATTGAGGAGTCTGCTACACAAGGGTAGGACTTGCACGAAAGGTCCAAGCTTCTGGTGTTCTGTTAGCAACTCCGTTAAGTACTGACTAGAACAAACGTAAATAAGAACATATACCCAGAAATTAATTGAATTCAACACAGAAACACACACATATATATAGATAACTGAAAATCAAAACTTTCACAATAAATGGCAGAAGTATCATAAGGGTACGTACCTATCAACATCAAAGTTGCTTCTGATGTTTATATTTGGAGAATTGGCCCTTTGGGATGCAGGTGAGGAAATCTGATTGTACAAACCAGACATCAATTCTACAAGGATATGGGTTGCCCAGAAGGATTAGGAGAAATTCAAAGGCAACAAGGAAGAAGAAAAAGTTTCTTGAGATTGGATGTGATTCAATAAAAAAAGTGCTGAAAAAAGAGAATCATCTAACCTATGCTTGAAAGACAAGAGAGAAAAATAGTAGTGGAAAGAAAAAGAAAAAAAAGATAACAAAACTACAAAATATGATGGAGGGCCACTTCTGTAGTAGCTCAGTAGTAGTAAAAGCAAGCCTTAAAGGATGTCTCTCTGGGTGTGTTTTAATTGTTGTTTTGTTGGCTTCTGTTGCATATGCAGAGTTTAATCATATATCTATGTTTTCCTTAAACACAAACAAGTTTCACTAAGGATGTTTTTTGTATATAAAAAAACAAATAAGGATTCTCTAGATTGAAGAGAGATAGATAGATAGATAGTAATCAAAGATAGTTATTCAGATATTCATTTGAATTCATAAGCAGATGCCAAAGAAGCCTCTCTTTTTCTTCAGTTGGAGACTTTCTCAGCTAGAAGGGTAATTAAAGTGCACGCTCCAATAAGGGTGCGTGTGGAGATGAATTTGCTTCATTCAATTTGAAAGAAGCAATGAAATAGGCCACCCCAATGACCAATGTGGGTCACTGGTTCTCTGTCACCAGATCATGAACATGTAGACTGAAACCAATCACTCGCATGCTTCACGCATATATTTATATATATAGCATAAGTATATACTATACAGAACAATAAAATGAAATGAATTATGGGATATGATATTGTAACTTACCATCAATCAATTTCACCGTTAGATTGATTATGTTGATCCAACGGTTATATTTATTTTCACCTTTGTATGGTTGTGATTTTCCACATTAAATACGGGGAATCATAACCAAACAAAGATGAAAATAAATATAAAGTATTAAATATGGGAAATCATAACCATACAAAAATGAAAATAAATATAACCGTTGGATCAACATAATCGATCTAACAGTGAAATTAATTAGTAGTAACATTGGTAGTAACACTAATTAGTTGTTACAATATCCTTTCGCATGAAATATCTATAATTGATTAGCATATCTTTAAATCAAACAAATCCAGCTTCATCCCCTACTCTGTGCTTAGCATATAGAATCTCATATAGAAGGAAAAATAAAATAAAATAGCTAAGGTTTTATTAATTATTATACTGCTACTAATTTGACAGCTTAATTGCCGCTATTATTGATTACTATAATCAACTTGCTTGCATTTGTTTTAAATGTGGCTCGTAGTAATGTTACGTCATTTGTTTTTTGAAACCACCTGTTATCCCATTCTTGTCTTACCCGAACCCACCTACCAATACAATTCTCTTTTTATTGCAAACTTCATAGCCCTCATTAATAGGGAATCAGCCAATTATTATTATTATTATTATTATTCAAAATAAATAGTTATCACCACATACATCTAAGTTAAAAATATTATATATGTTTAGTGTAGTTATATCTAAACAATAAGAATTTGTTCCTCCCATCTTGGTGGTTATGTAGCTGCCTATACTTTAATTTGACACTAAAGTCTATAGGATTAGGGAAGAGGATATACTTAGCTTAAATGATTTTCAAGGGATGAAGACCCAATAATTATAACTATAATTATAAACCATATCAAGAATAGGTAACCATAACCGGTTATTCATGGATGAATTGAGATGAGATCAAGAAAATTGAACTAGGTAAGGACCAAAATACGGTTCGAGAACATTACATTTTTCCATATAATATATATTAACTTAGTTTTTAAGTATGTATGTTTTCATAAAAAAATAAATAAATATGAATGTTTTCATACTTAATCTTTACCAACATGTAAATTAATTTAAAAACACTCTTATCGATAATTTTTTTTGAATTTTTGTATGCCAAAGTTGTAAGAAATTAAATATTCAATAATTTCTTTTTTTTAAATAAAAACCATGTTCTGTGATTAGGATCGATGTGGGACCGTGAACACGCGTGTAGTCGTGTTAGATTCCTTAATAGGCCTTATTCCTATATTTGTTGTCATCTATGCATGATTTAAGAGTGAAATGCAAGAAGACATAAATAGAAAAATAATTTCTTTCTTTTCCTTATTTTAATGTCAGAGAAATTTTAACAATATATGGATGGAATGCTTATAATATCACGTGCAAGTAAATCAACCCATAGAATAGAATAGAAAGTTTTGCAACTTAGAAAGGAAAGTGAGAAGGAGCATAGGATTCCTAGAAGGCTAGAACAACGAGGTGTACTTGCAAAATAAATAAATAGTAATGTGACATGTTGGCCAGAGAGAAGATCGTGTGGAGCAAATAAGCCGCAAGATAGGTCACAATTATGAGAGTCATGTACATCATGCATTGCTATTATGTATTATTTTTCACAAGTTTGTAAAATTGAAAAATCTTATACAATGTGAACGCATCAAATCCGATCCAAATATATTTTTAAAAGAAACAAAGAATGAAACTGTTCTATAAAATATATTTAGAATACTAATAACTATGTTTCCAAAAAATAAATACTAATAATTATTGGTTTAAATGATAAGAAGTTTGTTTCTTTAAGAGTTTGTTCAGTAAAATAAGAGTTTAACATCTCATCTGAGAGTTGTTGATTTTTTCTTAATTCAATGACTCTGATTTGTAAGCATGTGATATTGCTTATATGCCTTAATCTAATGGCTCTCGTATGACATCGGTATCAAATGATCATACTCCAGTGAAAAACTAACTAGTCTTACTTGCTATCTCAGTCGTTGATTTTTGTCCATCAAACAGTTAAAATGTATTGATTTAGACCAATTAATTAATTACATACATGTATATCTTATAAAATTTTACTAAGGAAGTTCCCACATATTCATACGTATGTTAAAACTTTTTTAAACTTAATTTCCTTTCTTGAATTTGGATAGACATTGTAAGATTAACAATTAATTTATAACTATATTTAGAAATTAAATTTGTATTTTCATATATTGTAATGAAATTTAATTTTTATTATGAATTTATATATTAAAAAATTACAACACAATGTAGAATAATAAATCTAATCCAAATGGAATTGGATTGAATTAAAATTACATTTTAAACTAAATTATTAGAATGATATTATATATAAAAAAATAAATTGAACCAATCGTTTTTTTTTTTTTTTTGATAACAGAATCAATCGTTTTTGTTTAATCTGTCAGTTTATTAAATTTATATTTTGAATAAAATTAATTAAATGATATTGTTAAAAAAGCTTATTAAAATGAATCAACTAAATCTGATTTAATTCAATCCGCAACTCCTAATAAAGTAATAATTACTATTGCACCCAATCTTTGTTGGTACGCTATCTAACGATTTAACAAAATAAAGCTCTCGATCTAAAACGAACAGCAAGATCGGAGACAAAATAAATATAAAAATTAATGGGATATGATATTATGGGCCATTTGGATGGGATTTTTCTCACTCCAAAAGCTAGTTTTTTGTTTTAAAGAAGAAAAAAAAACACTTTCGTCACAAATTCCGTTTAGATATTTGCTTTTTTTAAAAGCAGAAATCATATAAAAAAAGTTAAATATCTGTTTTTTCTAGAAGCTAAAAATTTTAACTTCTAAAAAATATAGAAGTCAAAAGTCAAATATTTTTTAAGAACTCTATATAGATTTACCTTTTGTGAAAAAAATACTTATAAAATAAAAAAGACATAAAAAGTTCTTTTTTACAAAACTCATCCAAATGGGTCATTCTATTTTTTTATGCCTATTTTACTTATTTCTTTCCAATACTGTTAATTTAGAATTTCAAGACGAGAGGAAAGAGTGAAAGTTAATTGTGATTCTAATTTAACAATATTGGTGAAGAGTAAGTATGAAAAAGATAAATATAATATTATATCTCAAAATTAATTGAAAAAAATTCATAATAAAAGGGACAAAGAAAAACAAAAAAAGAAGTTAGAAAGCACACTAGTAATTAACACACATGTAGAATATCCTAAAACCACATGAAAAAAACAAAACGTAAAAAGATGTAAGTTGAAAGATAAGCAACTTGTCCAATTTGATTAATGAAAAGGTGTCCATAATTATAAATCAAGTTATTAATATAGTAACTTTTGATATAAAAAATTACAGGAAAATGGACACTCGACGTTTACAAGTCACATTTAACTTTTGTAAGAGTTGTTTTCCTTTAAATATAACTTGTCCATTTGATTAAACCTTGGTATTTTGGCGTAAATCCTAACTTCACTAGGTAAAATATTATTTCCGTACCCAAATTTCAATCCTCTATTAAATTCATTATATATTATCATTTTTTGTGTATTTATAATTATTATTGATTTAATAAAAAGTGAAATGAAGGGAAAATAATAATAATGAAACCATATATGATATTTGATTAAGGATATCTTTTCAAGCATATTTGAATATTTGTTGCTTGAGTTAAAGGATGCATCATTATCTTATATTATATGTGAATGGTGATTATGATCATTGAGGGAGGATTCTTTGCAAGCTTTGATAGGAAAGAGGAGGTGGTGTATTTATAATGACTCTAACGCTCAAATTAACATATAAAGGAGAAAAAATGTGTGGAAATGAGAATGAAGAGTGTAAGTTTAGAATTAGGATTTAAAACTGGGCCGCATTATGGGTTCAATATAGGTCCAAAAAAAAAAATATCGTTCTTTACAAAGATAAATTAAAATGTTAATAATATATTTTTTGATTTATCATATTTATTATTCGCTAAAATTTCTCTTTTATTAGGAAAGCTTATTGAGTTGTGGGTAAGATAAAATGAATCAATAATATAAATTTATCATATACTATTAGGTCACCAAATAACAAATAAAAATAGGATATATAGTCTATTGTATCCATTAAACAAGCTCTTAAGCTGCAAATAAACTTTCTTTTCAAACCATGACTGATAACTAGAACAGTATAACCAAAGTAGAATTGAACCGGTAGATACAGACATAAAGTTGTCTGTTTGGTATTTCTTTATGTTTAGGTTTTTTTTTTTTTCTTAAAAGTACAAACTTAGTCAAATAAATTTTATAAAAACTCTTATAATAAAGGAAAAAGCTAAAAATTAAAAGCTCTCTAGAAGAGCTTTTTTTAAGATGTATGCTAACTTTTTTGACTTATTATATTTATTTTACAGTTTTACTTTTATTTTAGATTTATATTTATAAATTTTATCATTTACCCTAATAATTTATTTTATCTTTCTCCTTCAAAACTATCATAACAACATTACATAATCACCCAATTACTTTCAGTTTTATTTCTAAAATTTTGTTTTAATTTTAGCTTAAAAATAATTTTTAATAAAAAAGTAGCAAACGGTATCAAACAAAATAGAATTTATTGAATAAGTAGTGTTTGATAGAGGATTTTTTTTTTACCCGAGAATATGGAAAAGTGAATTTCCTGAAAATATTATCAAAAAATTATT